AGCAGCATTATTTGTAATACCAAGAACCTGGAAACAATCTAGATGCCCCTCAACAGAAGAATGGATAAAGAAAGTGTGGCACATCTACACATTAGAGTACTACTTAGCGGTAAAAAAAAATGACATTTTGAATTTTGCATGCAAATGGATGGAAATAGAAAACACTATCCTGAGTGAGATAACCCAGACCCAAAAAGATGAATTTGGTATGTGCTCACTCATTTGTGAACTCTAGCCATAATCCAAGGTCATTAAGCCCATAGTTCACAAGCCCAGAGAAGTCAAATAACAAGGTGATCCCAAAGAAAACCATATATTGATCCTCCTGGAAATTGGAAGCAAACAAGATTGCAGGACAAAAGCTGTGAGCATGGGGGTGGAGGCAGGGGTGGGGGTGAGTTTGGGGAAAGGGGAGAAGGGGAGAGGGAAGGGAGAAGGGAAGGACTGGCAAGAGCTTGGGGGAGTGGTAGGGTGGAGATGGATGAAGGGTGGATATAGGAGCAGGGAAGAAGATACCTACAGTAAGGGATCCATTTTAGGGTTGGCAAGAGACTTGGCTCTAGAGGGGATCCCAGGGGTCCACGGGATGTCCCCAGCTAGGTCCTTGGACAGCAGAGGAGAGGGTGCCTGAACTGTCCTGCTTGTCCACGCTGATGATTATCTTGAATATCACCATAGAATCTTAGTCCGGCAACAGATGGAGATAGAGACAGAGGGTTTTTTGGGACCCTAGTCTATATGGATGCACAGCTCCATAGACCTTGATGTAGGGGGGGAGGGCCTTGGACTCCCCACTGGGCAGGATTCCTGGCCCTCTCTCAAGCAGGGTGGAAGAGGGAGGAGGGGGTGTGGGGGAGCAGGGGGGGGAATTGGGAGGAGGGAAGGAAGGGTAAATAATTGAATGGAAAAACAAAAATTAAAAAAAATAAAAAAGAAGAATCATCAACCTGATTTGATAGAATTTTAAAAAAGATAAGAATCTAAGTTTACAAGACATAAAGAAAGAAAGGAAGAAAGAAAGAAAGAAAGAAAGAAAGAAAGAAAGAAAGAAAGAAAGAAAGAAAGAA